TAGATAGCATTATAGACTAAATCCCTTTCTACACAGGATAGATACAACACAGGCAGGGACAGAGGAAGCTTCTTCACACCATCCCACCAAGCCATGTCAATTTTGTCCTGAAAGGACAACCTCTAGAGACGAGAGGGGATAGTTCAATCTCCACATTCAATTCAATCTTTGGTTTCTGTACAGAGCCTGCCAGGTTTTTTCTAGAATATTGTGTTCAGAAGAATCTAGTTATACCATTTTAATGTAAACTTCTTTAATGATGACTAGATGCACTTTAATGGATACAATAAGAGAAGCACCATTATTCCCATGTCATGCTCGTTGACAGCACCAAGCATGGTTCTGTTTGCATATCTTTTTACTCATCTATTCCACTAAGCAAGAATTCTGGTAGGTCCTGATCCTGCTCTCACTTACACTGGTGTAAATCTGGAGTAACTCCATTTTAAATGAATGGAGGGAAGTCAGTTTAAAAAGAGGAATGACGAGTGTGAGAGCAAAATCAAAACTGCTCACTATATATGACTTTACAAGCAATTTCTGCTTGTTCAATATACTTGTGAATAATATTGTCCCTGCTAAGAAGTACGCTTACACAACATAGGTAAAATCCTGGCCCAAAAGTCATTGCCATTAAGTTCTCTGGAATCAGGATTTTACCTCATGTTCTTAGAACCGAAAAACTGCGACTACTATAATTCTGGAGTCAAATTCAGCCCTAGCACAAACTGCCACAATTTCTTTTGATTTTACTTAGAATTGTGCAAGGGTCTGAATTTCTCCATGATTTTAGGGTTATTTTTTTCTTAGGAGGAATTTACTTAGAGAATATTTGATATTTCTCTTTGAGAAGATATTTTGTTGCTAAAATATTTCATTGTATCCTACAGTTTTAATACACTAATAAATCAAGTGAGCAATCTTAGGTCTTCATGATGTAATCAACAATCTGAACATATTACAGACTTGCTTCTCCATTCCTTACACAGTCAAAACATCTGGTAAATCTATGGGAGTTTTGTCTATAGAATATTCACTTAAAACAACATGCTGACCCTGATCAGATATGCTTAGAATTAATTATGATAACGTATTCATTTTAATCGGCAGTATTACAAAAATTTACCTTTAGTTGAGAGCTATAGGGTTACTGAGGTAAACCTGATTTTGAATTAAGGTTTAAAATAGATTGACCTTTCTTGTTGATTTATATAAATGTGCAGAGCATGATTCTGAAGGATAAGGACCTGATTTTCCTTTGTCCTGTGTTTCTGCAGTCAGTTATACCAATGCAAACTAGGTGTAACATGCAACTTAATCAAAATGGTAGCATTTCCCATTGACTTTTCATGAGCGTAAATGGCTTCCAAGAGCCAGGCAAAGAAGTCTCAGGCCCCAAGTATATATTGTTAAACAGTATTAAGAACACTTGCAAGTGTGTGTTTGCGGCAATGCCAAGGTACTTCACACAAGACGACAATCTCTAGGGCCAAATTCTTTCACTTACACTGATATAGCAACAGGAATTCAGCTATGAAGTTGTTGACTACTTCAGAGATTGCGTCTTTTGTTTTAATTGAGAAGCATGACGTTACTTATTTCACAGTTTAGTTTTATGCATGTTTATGAATTTTAGTGAAAGAATTGGAGTAATATCAAAGCTAAGATACATTTTTGCCTCTGGACCAAGGACCAGCCTGCTTATGGCGGCACGTCCTCTGAAAAATGTCATTAAACAGCTGATCTTTAGAAATATTCATTAACTTGAAAAAAAATCTATTTTACATCTATCAGTAAAAATTACAGGTTTGCTCGGGGACTGAAAAGTTGGTGTTTACAGGGTCAGATTCTATGCGGGGATGACAGCCCTTAACTGCCATTGAAGTCTACAGGAATTGTCAGTTTTCAGCACGTCACATTAAGTGCTCAGTACTTCACAATATTGAGCTTACAATTGTTGACCTTACCTGTGATAAAAAGCTTTTCTATGATCACTAGAGCTATAATATACTAAGGTAAACTTGATTGTGAATTAAGGTTTAAACTAGACTGACCATTCTTGTTGATTTATATAAATGTCCAAAGCGTGATTCCGAGAGAGTAAGGACCTGATTTTCCATTGTGCTGTGTTTGTGCAGTCAGTTATACCAATGCAAACTGGGTGTAACATGCTACTTAATCAGAATGGTAACATTTCCCATTGACTTTCCATAAGTGTAAATGGCTTCACAAGAGCAGGGCAAAGAAGACTCAGGCCCCAAGTATATATTGTTAAACACTAAGTGCTCAGTACTTCACAATATTGAGCTTACAATTGTTGACCTTACCTGTGATAAAAAGCTTTTCTATGATCACAATAAGCCTCTTTATCTTTGCATTACTGTAATTACCATATAACTTACCTGATACTATGAGCTTGGTACCGGAGCCAAATACTTTGATGTAGTAGCCACTAGAAGTATCACAGTGAACAAATCCTTTGCAAAATACTGTACAGATCTAGTATCAGTATATTGATGAACCAGAAGTTGTTGCTTTAAAAAAAAATCTGATTTGCTATTTAAATTGCTTTCTGGCTTTGCAATAAAATAGTAAAAAGGGAGAATGCATGTAAAATAACATGAAAATGGTGGGGAAAATTTTCAAAGGGGCAAAAGACACTTAGACATCCAACTATCATTCCTGGGCACCTACTTGTCATTGAAAATCTGTCCCTGAAATTAATCTGATTTAATATGGTTTACATTAGATGTGTCTAATAACTTGTGGAAAGGAACAAATTACTTTTTAAATTAGGGTCCACAGGCTGAGGTTATAAAATTAAGCCTGCATAGTGCCATCATTCCATGATAGTGCTCCAAATGATAACAATAGATTGAGGGTAGAATATAGCTCTTAAATTGGGTATGTTCATGAGAATTAGTTTGGCTAATTTCTGCCATTTAGTGTAATCAGAAATATTCCCCAACAGAAAACATTTTCTCTTCAGAAATATTTGTTTGTCTCAGGGACTAGGCACCCAGCAAGAACCATTTAGCTGTATATAGAGGGAAGCCTAATTAAAGACACAGAATTCTCTCAATCCCCTTAAATCCAAACATGGCTAAAACATTTTAACAATTGGAAATCATCTTTAAAAATAAAATGGAGAATCATATTATTGGATCAATTATCATAGTTTTTTAAAAGGATTATATCTATTATATATACCTTTATGTTTATGTAAAAATAAGCAAACCTTTCTTTCTCATTGTATGGAAACAAGAAGATTTACTGCATTTTGGCCTTGTTTTGGCCTCAAAGTTAAGCACATGCTTAAATACCTTGCTGAATAGGAATGGACACATGCTTAAGTGCCTTCCTAAAGTGGAGCCTTTTTTAGAAAAGAAAACACATTAGCATTATTGTTACTATAAATTTACCCTTTAATGCTACCTAAGGGCCAGATCCTCTAAGTGCTGATCATCCTCAATTTTTATTTAAATTAATGAGCATTGAAGAAGCTCAACAACTCATATGATGGGCTGCTAAATATACAGTATTGTATAAAAAACCATAAGTTCTACATTTTACATTTATAGCTAACAATAAGTGGTTCCACTTCTGAATATTTTTGCATAATCGTCTCAGTGTTACACTGCTAAACAAGATCTCCAAACAATTTACATCATTCTCATTGATTGCACAAGTGTAACTGTTTTTTCTGAATTAGAGAGACTAGGATGGGTGAAATCTTGACCCCATTGAAATCAGTTGAATTTTGCCTTTTACTTCAGTGGAATCAGGATTTTACCTTATATATTTATGATTAGCTTGATTTTGTCCTGGATAACAAGTATAGTAAATGCCCAGAGTAAATGTATGCTTTGAAAACATTTTGAGAAACTTACTTGAAACCACTAGTTTGGTGCCCGAGCCAAAGTACTTTACTACTCCAGACTCACATCATTGAAATCCTCTACAAAAACTAATGAATTATCAAGTTATGAATTTCATCAGACTAAAATTCTGAAGTTCATATTTTAAATACAAAGTCCACAATCTGAACAAGACTTGCTATCGGCCACTTAATGGTGTGAGTACTAAACCATGTTTATGCACTTTGTGAATTCCTGTTCCTTTTTGCTACCAAAAATGTTTTTTGCTCCTTCACATACATCAGTGCATGGCAAATTGAGTGGAGTGAATTACTTCAGTTCCATCAATTTTAGTGAATGAGCAGGATTTAGTCCTCTGATTTCCAAAGTGCCTAGATAGGAAAGATGTTCTTGTGGTTAAAGCTCGAGAGTGGGACTCAGGGAGATTTGCCTTTTTTCTGGCTCTCCCTCTCTGCCCTTTGTCAAATCACAACCTCTGTGCTTCACTTTATATTTTAACCTGCTCTTAATGTATAGTTTAGAAAATGACATTTACTAGGCAATGTATTGTAAATACTGTTATATTCTCAACATTAACTAGCACTTATATTATTGATTGTTTCTGTAGCTTTAATCCGATAAAGAATACTATACACAAAAGAGAAGATACTTTCAGTAAAAAACATACTCAGAATCTGAAGACTGTTGCACCTCATGCATTTTTACTTCATTACTCAACGTACACTGATATAGCACTAACAATAACAAACTCACACTTGCTAAATTGAAACCTGTGCTGTGAATTTTACACTTGCTGGCATTTGGACTCTTTCAATGGAGTTGCACAAGAGATGAATTTGGCCCAATATTTTAAATGTAAAACTCTCAATTTCCCTCTTTCCTGATTCTTAACAGCCAGTCAGTAAATATTCCAGCCTTTTACATTTGTGTTCACTTAACTCATTAGGACCAAAACTCCCCTCAGTCAATCCATTCGTGTCCTTGGCAGTTCCACATACAGATCAAGAGCAATACACGGCTTATGTGCAAATTCCTTTTTTTATGTTAAATTATTCGGTTCAATTTTTCTGTCCTTTGTTTTTCTTTTGGTAAATAGAATTAATCAAGAACAAACATACTTACCAGAAACAACTAGCTTGGTTCCTGTGCCAAAGTACTTGATCCAGCTTGAAGTATCACGTTGACTTTTCGTTTTACAATAAGCTGTGGTACTTTACTTATGCTGCTGTGTCCTTGCTCAAATAACCAGGTACTCTAACCAGTAGCTGGGAAAATACTTCTAATGAAGTATTCCTGATTTCTTGACTGCATGGAGAATTTAACAAATTTCACATTTCTGTGCCACCATAAAGCTGATACATAAATTCTCTTCCCAGTGATTCTATTTGCATGTCCTTGCAACTTTTCTGTTATCAAATGGTCACTCCTTAAAATGGAAACTAGATGACGGCTTCTATTTGATTTTAATATTGGAAATAGACTGTTGGATCAGGCTGTTCTCAAACATTTTCATCGTGTTGTCCACATATTAAAAGAGAGATTATCTCATAGAGTACAACCCCTTTCCCATTCCCAAGAGCATTGACCACCTCCTCTTCCCATCCGTAATCACATAACATCCCTATTGCTTACATGGAAAAATGCTACCTGGAAAGAATTTCATTCTTAGCTGTATTACTGAAATTTAATAGATGGTAATGAGGAGGAACCAGCATTATGTGATCAGCCAGCTCTCTAGCGACTAGTACAAAGAGCTCCATTGGCTGCAGCTGGGACCCTGTACCCTAGATACTTATTCTGCTGTATGTTGGGATTGTTGTAGTTTGTGTGTTACCAATTTACTGGTATCTTTTTCATGGTGGCTGGGGAGGGGAAAAATATTTTCCTCTACATACACAGACGTTTTAAAACAGAACAGAGATAACATCTGAGAAAGCCCACCTCATTTCAGACAAAAGGTGTGGATGACAATCTAGCAATTGGAAGGGAATTAACCAGAGTATTTGATCTCTCTCACAGACGCAGACACCCCCACCCCACCCCCGCTTCACTCATCTGCAGAATAATTCTGGGAAATAACTGACAGTGGGTAAGAAAAATTGAAAAGGAACATACAGAGAGAGGTTCCTCCCAAATGTGCAGGTGATTGTTTCAAAGGGCTTGTCTACTACCCAGTACTTTATTGGGAATATCTCCCAGCATTGCAATAGTGCTGGTGAATCTTCTAGTGCTGGTGAAGCCCTGGGAGAACTGGTGTAGTGAGGCCAATAGCATTCACTGGCATGTTACCACCATGTCTTCTAGACCTGCTCTGAGCAGGATTAAGTGACACTAGCACTGCTGCACTTGGTGTCCTTGGTGGGGCTGTACTGATATTACTGCAACAGCGGGAAGTTTCACAGAATACATCCATTGTTGCCCCTCTACCTAGCATATATACCAAGTCATAATCATACATTATCTAACATGGTAGTAGTAATATGATTTGGTCCTGTCAGTATGGAGAGCAAAACTGAATTTTAGCCATAGGGTAATCATCATGCTTAATAACTTGCACTGGGGTTGCACTTTCCATCCAAGAATGTCAATGTACTTTAGTGCATTGAGTTTCAGTGTCTATGTGAGGCAGGTATTATTCACAGCAGGAGAAACTGAAACCTAGAGAGGATAAGTGACTTGGTCATTCAGGGAGCGTGTAAAAGAGAGCCACGCATAGAATCCAGATCTCCTGAGGCCCAATCCTGTATTTTAAGAAGGAGCTGGACAGTAATAAGAGCCACCAGAGAGCCCAGGTGGCTATGGGGAGCCCCAGACCCTCCACCTCATCCTGGGTGAGGGGTGTAGGGGGCATAGCTTGTACTTTTTGAATTGATCCTCCGTATGCTGCAATGAAAGAACCTGGTACAGGTCTCCTGAGTCAGGCTTGCAGGGCTGGAGCTGAAGGGCTAAAATTGCAGTGTAGACATTTGGGCTGGAGCTGGAGCGCAGGCTCTGAAACCTAGTGAGGCAGTGGGTCTCAGAGCCCAGGCCCTAGCCCGAGCCTGAATGCCTACACTGCAGTTTAGAGCTCCACAGTCCGAGCCCCACAAGCCCAAGCCAATGGATGCAGAGTCTGAGACTAGGTGCCATGGGATTTTTAATGCAGTGTAGTCGAACCCAAAGGGAAGGGAAATAAAGGTTCCAGATATCTTTTAATAAGGCTTCTCTTTAAAAATCACTAAAATATTTAATCAGGAGATAAATTTGCCCTGAACTAACTGCATATACTATTTAAGAACCTTGGTTAGCACCTTTAAAAAGAGAGTTAGAAAAACAAAGAGTGCAGGATTCTATACAGGTAATACAACTTAGGAAAATTGTCAATTGTAAACTTTCCAATTCTTTTCGGATACCATAAAATATTCACTTACAGCAACATGCTGATCCTGATCTGATCTGTTTAGAATTAATTATGATAGTGTATTCATTTTAATAGGCAGCATTACAAAAAATTACCTTTAGCTGAGAGCTATAATATACTAAGGTAAACTTGATTGTGAATTAAGGTTTAAACTAGACTGACCATTCTTGTTGATTTATATAATGTCCAAAGCGTGATTCCGAGAGAGTAAGGACCTGATTTTCCATTGTGCTGTGTTTGTGCAGTCAGTTATACCAATGCAAACTGGGTGTAACATGCTACTTAATCAGAATGGTAACATTTCCCATTGACTTTCCATAAGCATAAATGGCTTAAAAAGAGCAGGGCAAAGAAGACTCAGGCCCCAAGTATATATTGTTAAACACTATTAAGAATACTTGCAAGTGTCAGTTTGCCTGCAATGCCAAGGTACTTCATACAGGACGACAATCTCTAGGGCCGAATTCTTTCACTTACACTGGTCTAAGTGCAGGAATTCAGCTATGAAGATACTGACTACTTCAGAGCTTGCTTCCTTTGTTTTAATTGAGAAGCATCATGTTGTTACTTGTTTCACAGTTGTTTAATTTTATGCATGTTTTAAAATTTTACTTAAAGAATTTGAGTAATATCAAATCTAAGACAAATTTCTGCAACCGGACCAAGGACCCGCAAGCTTATGGTGGCATATCCTCTGAAAAATGTCATTAAACAGCTGATCTTTAGAAATATTCATTAACTTGAAAAAAAATCTACTTTACATCTACCAGTAAAAATTACAGGTTTGCTCGGGGACTGAAAAGTTGGTGTTTTCAGGGTCAGATTCTATGCGGGGCTGACAGCCCTTAACTGCCATTGAAGTCTACAGGAACTGTCGGTTTCAGCACGTCACATAAAGTGCTCAGTACTTCACAAGATCGAGCTTACAATTGTTGACCTTACCTGTGATAAAAAGCTTTTCTATGATCACAATAAGCCTCTTTATATTTGCATTATTGTAATTACCACATAACTTACCTGTTACAATGAGCTTGGTACCAGAGCCAAATACTTTGATGAGAACACCACCACTACTAGTAGTAAGTATCACAGTGAGCAAATCCTTTGCAAAAAATCTACACAGAGCGGGTATCTTGTTGTTGATGAGCAAGTAGTTGTTACTTTAAAATAAATCTGATTTGCTATATAAATTGCTTTCAGACATTACAATAAAATAGTAAATAAGGAGAGTACACGTAAAATAATGTGAAAACTGTGGGGGAGATTTTCAAAGGCACAAAAGGCATTATGGTGTCTAACTATCATTGAGTTTCAGTGGGCATTTGGCACATAAATGCCATTGATAAAATCTCCCAATCATATAATGTGGGTTAGATTAAGGGTGTTGAATATTTTGTGGAACGGAACAAATTATTTTTAAAATGTGATGCACAGGCTGAGGTTATACAATTAAGCCTGTACACTGCCGTCATTCCATAATGGATCTCCCAATGATAATAGATTGAAGGTAGAATATAGCCTTTAAAATGGGTATATTCATGGGGAAAATTCTGGCTAATTCCTGCCATTTGGTGTAATCTGGAATATTATCAACAGAAAACATTTACTCCTCAGCAATATTTGTACAACACAGGGATTACGCACCCAGCAAGGATGATTTAGCAGGATCTAGAGGGAAGAATATGCTTAAAGACACAGAATACTCTGATCCTCCTTAAATCCAAACATGACTAAAACATTTGAACAATTGAAAATATCTTTAAAAATATCTGTCTAGCTCTATCGCATACCTGGTCTTTATGTAAAAAATAAGCAAACCTATTTATACCCCATTACTGGATCGAATCAAAAAAATGTTACTGCATTTTTGCCTTAAAGTTAAACACATGCTCAAATTCTTCGCTGAATAGGAATAGAAACATGCTTAAGTGCCTTACTGAACTGGAGTCTTTATTAGGAAAAAAAACACAATTGCATAAATTTATTGTTACTATAAATGTACTCCTTAATTCTATCTAAGGGCCACATCCTGCAAGTGCTGACCATCCTCAACTCCCATTTAAATGAATGAGCATTGAAGTAGCTCAACACCTCATAGGACTGGGTGCTAAATATACTCTTGTATAAAAAACATAAATTCTATATTTCACATTTACTGCTAACAATGGGCTTAGTTCCACTTCTGAATAGTTTTGCATAATCATCTCACAATCTTACAATGCTAAACAAGATCTCCAAACACTTTACATTGTTCTCAGTGAAGTGTTTCTGGTTCTTTCTGATTTAGAGAGACTAGTACGGATGAAATCCTGACCCCAATGAAGTCAATTGGCATTTTGCCTTTGACTTCAGTGGAATCAGGATTTCACCCAGTATATTTATGAATAGCTTGATTTTGTCCCAGATAACGAGCATAGTAAATGCCCAGAGTAAATGTATGCTTTGAAAACATTTTGAGAAACTTACTTGAAACCACCAGTTTGGTGCCGGAGCCAAAGTACTTTACTCCATACTCACATCATTGAAATCCTCTACAAAAACTAATGAATCATCAAGGTATGAATTTCCTTGAATTGAAATTCTGAAGTTCATTTTTTAAATACAAAGTCCACAATCTAAACAAGACTTGCTATAGGCCAGGATGTTATGTGAGGATTAAACTGAGTTTATGCACTTTGTGAATTCCTCTGCCTTCTTCTATGAAAAATGTTTTCTGCTCTTTGACATACGTCACTGCATGGCAAATTGATTGGGGTGAATTGCTGGTCACCATGCAATTCCATT